TGACCTGACTCATTTCCTTTTCTGAAAAGATCGAAAAAATTGTAAGATTCAGTTTGAAAATTGATTTGATTTTAGAGTCACAAAACAAGTCCAGCACCAATACAAATATACCTATCAAACATGTTGACATTATCATAGGACATTCTTCGGCATTGAAATTTTGCCTCTGCAGACATTTTTATAAAGATCAGTATGAATTTCAAATAAAAAAAATATTATTATGATTTTGATACAATGTACAGAAAGATGTTCTCATGTAAAAAAATATTTCTTGTGACTATAAAGTCTATATGCAAAATGATCCTTGCAATATTCATAACTTGGTAGTAAGACGACAATATTTCTGTTATCTTCTGGAGGCCTGCTGCTTTATGTTTTGTGATATCCTTCATAATTCAGAGTTTTTCCTGAAGCAAAATTGTGCTTCTTATGTATATGCTTACCTGAAGGACCCTTAGAAAATGAAAATTTGCATCAGTTTGGACGCACAGAAATAATTTAAATTTGATAAAAAAACCAAAGAGTGTAATACAGTCCTACCCCGGTTATTGGACAACCCTGTATTCGAATACCCGGCATTATCCGAAGTAGATCGGCGGTCCCGTTTTTATCTCTATACAAATCAATATAAATACGAGCGTATTATTCGAAATGCATTATCCGAATACCTCCTATTTTTCGAAGTATAATTTCGGTCCCGATTATACAATTATGAAAGAATTTCACACCTATTAATTATTCGAAGCCAGCCTAATTATTATTCGAAACCAGACTAATTGGCGCAGATCCACTGGCTGACCGGTCGACTTTGTGAAAAACATCAGTCATGCGTGTATTTAGACAATCATGATAATAACTCTTTGTAACACCGAAAATGAAAAGCAATGCACCGTGTCCGATTTTGTTACTGTTATGATGACAGCAAAAATTTTCATACATACCGTATATGTAAATTTGTCAAAACATCCAAAACATGTTTTCATTAATTGTAACGCTACATGATAGCCTTTTTCCTAATCGAAAATACCAGAGTTTAGCTGTAAATACTGTAGTGACAACACGGCCATTTTCAAGGCTTTGCGCGAAATGAAACGATACGTCATGTTGAATAAAATGCAAGTATTGATGTCTTCAATGTCAATACAATAATTTTTACGCATCTTTTCTTTAATATTTATTTTTCTCAATTGATTACAGGAAGTAAGTGTGTTGTTAACGGTAGTTTTGCTATGATTGGTCAAAGTGGAGTAGTTTTCGTCTATCACAATATTCGGATTTCGATTATTCGAACCCATCGATTATTCGAAGTAAATATTCAGTCCCAGGCACTTCGAATAAACGAGGTTGGACTGTACTTAAAGTTCGTTCGCTCGAACTAGGATCGCTCAATTTCTAGGGCTGTCATTGATGGAAAATTTTGTATCGATATATCGAGAGACAAATATGGACAATATATCAACTTTGACACTGAGTAGATACAATGAAAACATTTACACATGTGTTATAAATTGTGATCATGGTGTTATGTATACTTGTATTACACATTACAAACAGTACAAACTAACAGAAAGTTGTTTTTTTATGTTTTTCTTGTCGTTGACATTAAATTTTGAAAACGAAGATAAAGTTCAAGTTAGCCAAGAAAACTAGAAAAAAGTGACTTCTCTTTTTAAGCCAAAATAGAGAGGTATATTAACTAACAAAAATAAAACAATTTTTTTAGCTTGTATCGATCGATATGTGAAAGTGTGTATCGATATTGTATTGGATAAAAAATATCGATGATATATCGATATCACGATATTCAATGACAGCCCTATCGAATACCTCCCTGAGCTCGAACTAATCGCCCAGTCCTGGCAAAATTCCTATATAATTTTTATTGTTCTACCTCAGATTGCTTGAACACTTATCGCTCCAACTGTTGAACCTGATCTCTGGTCCCTTCGGCAGAAATTTAGTTAAAATCACACCTTTTCGGTTGAACACAAAAAGACAACAAAAGTTGGGGGCGACATGTTCTAAATAAGTGACAGCCGGCGAGACATGTTTTTAACACCTTGTGATCGTGATAAAGGAAATTAAGGTTAATTGATACAAAATTAGAGGTGTTTTATTTGTTATGATAATTTTGTTTATTTGCTGTCTTTAGTAAAGATTAAAAGAAGAAAAAACTTGTGAAATAAGTGAAATGTGCAGTCAGTCAATAGATGACGTTTACCGGGACGACTTTAATTACAGCCGTAGTGAATGTAACGTGACAATCTATAGAATGATACTTGTATGTGTGTTTATTTTAGTAAATGAATACAAATAATGCTGCTGTTAAATTTATTTTAAATGTTTTATTTATTCGTTGTTTAAAATTTATTTTATCCCAAAATAAAGATATAAATATATTTTGAACATTGTTCAACAAGATTGGAAAATGATTGTCCAATCGAACTCAACCATTTACAATATGCATGAATATAGATTAACACAGTGTACCGTTAGTACTCATTTGAAAACACTGCGATAATAATTCTTAATATTTAAAAGAAAAGACGTATTCGACGGACTGATGTACTAACAAACAATTATATTGACATATTTATCATTCGACTAATGTAAGCTATAAAACATTTATGCCTTTGTCCTACATGATAATAGTTCAACCTCGGTTGGCTCGAACTACCGATCTCTAGTAAAAAGTTGCACAGACCCTCCGAGTTCTGTAGTTTCAAGTACCAAGAGAAATAAAGAACATAAGAACATATCAAACCTTAGTGTCTTTTGTTGTTAGTATGCATTATTTTTACTCGTAAAAACAATACAGTATGCATTATAAACAGCCATTTACTCTTTCTTGTGTTTAGCTCGATTAAAATTTAATAATGAAGATGAAACATATTCCAAGTCCTTCAGAGTATGGAGAGATGCAAATATTACAAGACTGCTTTATTCTCTGTAAAATATATTGCGGTTTGTGTCAGAATGTTAAAGCAGGCCAATATTTGTTTGTTGTTTGGCAAAAGAAAGTTTTACGGTGATTGTGTACAGTAAAATGAAGAAAATGCAATGCCTTCAGTTATTCAATGAAATCTTAATAAAATAATCAGAAAAAAATAAAGAATGCTTTCCTACAGTTTCTCCTAGCAACTTCATTTATTGGCCCATATCTTAAATATTTGGTATGTAGATACAAATGACTTTGGATAGTCCTCTAACTTTGGCTAGACTGACTTTGGATCACTGGGTTCAGTTTTTAGGTCACATATATATTTTTACACATTATAAACATGCAGTTACTAGTAGGTGCCTTGGGTGGTCCTGTTTGTGTGCAGTTAGGGCTCACTTACAAATTTAATTCAAGGTCACTGGTGCTAAAAATAGATTTGCAGTGAGGGATTACAAGGGTTAAGTGCAAAAATGTTATATATAGATTGTTAAAACCTTTACCCCAACACCTTTTATAATTTTATTGACTGATGTTTTTCATGATTGATAGGAACATACCATGTGTGGTCCTCTAACTGAATGTGGAATATGGGATCACAGAGGTTAAGGGCAAAAGTGCTCATATTGCTTTCATTAATTATATTGACTGATGTCATATTTGGTAGGTAATCACTAAGGGAATAAGGTGTCACAGGGTTCACTGTGAAACATGCTTATATAGATTTTTCACTTTTGCTCATGTAGCCTTAATTTATTGATTTACACTGAAATACTTTGACAAACCTGCAGGTGAGAGAAGCATTCCAAGGCATCTATCACCAGGGACCAAAATATGGCCTCTTTCCCAATTATAGATAGCATATGAGCCGTGTCACGACAAAACCAACATAATGGGTTTGCGACCAGCATGGATCCAGACCAGCCTGCGCATCCGCGCAGTCTGATCAGGATCCATGCTGTTAGCTTACAGACCCTATAACAAGTAAAGAAACTAATAGCGAACAGCATGGATCCTGATCAGACTGCGCAGATGCTCATATGTTTTCTCCAATTAAAAAAAAATAGATGGAAAAAATATAAAAAAAATGTGTAACCATTCATCTGTATAATTATGTAACAATGCGTATGAAGAAAAGATATAGCATATCATATTGATTGTTTTATATAGCTAAGAAGATATAATCTTATGCATAATGTAGACAACAGTGTGTCACAGTTTCCTGTTTTCTCCTTAATCCATATTACTATTCAACCTATTGTCATGTTTGGTGTCATGAGTCATTGTTAGTAGTCAGTATTGATGTAGAAATGTTATATTTGGCTTTATTTGCATAATTATAAGAAAAGTGAATGGTACCAAACTTATCAGAGCATCTGGTATTTTTTGATGTTGCATTATGGGACATGAAATTACTGTTTGCCCAGAAGGTCTTGGTTCTGTTAATATATGCAAACAGAATAAGCTGTATCACTACATTATGGCACTATATATGATTTCCCGGAACTGAATTTGGTAGAAAATTCCCTACATTAAAAAAAACAAGATCTTTAAAGAAACAGTTCCATAGTGAATTCATACACTGGTTGAACTGTTTATTAGACAGTACATTACCTGAGACTTTATAGTAATAGTATTGACTTGATTGCAGTCTTGACTAATTGCAGTCTAACTTGATATTAATAAACAAGTCTTGAGTGTCACTTGCCCTTAATTTGAAAACTTGCTTTGCTTTCTTGTTTTTAAGAAAAGACACCTCTATGATTTTTTCAGTCTAAGGGAGTTCCTTTTAATTCTTAGTATCCGATTTTTTAATGTGAGAAAAATTTCACCAACTGTTGTCAATTTTTTTTTTCAAAAATGAATGAACCTGCCACTCTATTTAGCGTATATTTGTATTGATAATGATTACAATGGGACATGTACAATAAATAGTTTTATCTATATGTGATTTTCCCATATGTCGCCGTTAGGTCCAGATGTAGCTAAAGTCGATGTAACATTCAATAACACACCTAAACATACTTACATATCAATATGGATTAATCAGAATTCATACGTTTAAATGAAGCAAAATATGTGGAAGTCTCCGTCAGATGAACGCGATAGATTGCTACGGCGACAGCGTGCCATGGAACTGTGGGGACTAGCTCGTAACTCTATGCAAACTAAATCCTACAAGTGTCCTTATCATTCGTACCAAAATGTTCATTCATGTCATCCTATGTGAGTAAAAGGATTTTATATACAGGAGAAAGTGTTGGATATATTTTCGCTGTGGAATGTGTGTTTAAGCAATATTGTCTCACCATATGTTACACAGCTCTACAGTCTAGAGTGAAGTACTTAAAATAAGCTGAATTCTTTCAATCAGTGAGGTTCTTGGAATCAGCTAAATTTTTGGAATCAGCTAAATTATTGAAATAGCTAAATGCTTGAAATATGCTTAATTATTGAAATAAGCTGTATGCTTTAAATAAGCTAAGTCTTTGAAATAAGATATATACTTAAAATAAGCTCAATGCTTGTTCAAAATAAGCTATTATGCCTAAAATAAGCTAAATGATTGGAGTAAGCTAATTGTTAGAAAAGGCTGTGATTGAATAATTTTTGGAGGTACAAAAATGAATTGATTAATTTCATTGACTCAGCATATAAAGCTTGCTTGGTCAGGCATGTTTATTTTGTCAACAGTTTCAAGTTTAATGTACAAATAGATTAAATCTAAAAAATGATTATTAAAAAAATCAGTATTTTCTGCAACACTGAATTTAAATTGTTATTTCAGTAAACAAACAATATTGCTTTGTAGGAATAATTTTATCATTTTGTGATATAATTTATGCATTTTGTTATAATTTATACAGTATGGGGAACAGTTGAGTGGCAAAAGGTAGTGTTTTTGTGCACGAAGTAGATTGTCTGGCTGGTGTCATATTTTGTCATGATAAGGGATATGGTATATCAGATATACTCCACCCTATGATTTACAATTGATTTAAACTAAACGCTAATTAAAGAGTAATTGGCATTATGCCCACTTAACATTATGCCTGAAGGAGCATTTGAAGTTGACACATTTTAAACTTGTATGTTAAAGATTATAGAAATGGAAAATAGAACTCTTAAAGAGTCAATTTAGTTTGGAACTATTGTGTAATTTTAGAGTAAAATATGCCTGGTTACGGAAAGTATGTATAAGTTCTGTGTTTAGGTTTGTTTTCGTTGACTTTCTCATGTGTTGTTGCTTTCATTTAAAAATCTATTATAATGAATAATTTGGGTGTTAACACCTTAAATGAACAATAATTGTGACTGAGTTGACAAGTTTGTTTTATCATATACACTAAGACGCAGGAGTGAAATAAAGTCATGTAATAAAAACGATATTACACTAGTGTAATAACACTTTGACGTGATGTCATTTGCGTTATATACAAACATAGTGTTAAAGCACGCTAATGTTAGCATTTCATTGTAGGTGCGTCAATGACAAATGGCTAATTTAACTGTAAACCATTCTTATTTTGTATATGTGATAAAAAGAATATATATTCGTGTAGATTCAATACCAAATTTATTGAACTTGTTGAATAAAACAATATTATGCTCTCCAGAGGCTCGCATAATATGATTTTATTCAACTCGTTCAATAAATTTAGTATTAAACCTACAGTTTGTACACCCATTCAATATCCTCTATGTATACATTAAATCTGTAATCATGTACATTCATACTATTTCTAATATTAGATGCTGAACTTTAATTAAATATCAGAGGTGGTGATAGTATTGTTATCACACTGTTTATCATGAGATAACCTTTATTGTCTGGTACATAGTACAACAATAATAACATTCCATTGATGGTATGAATAAAGTTATCTCCAAACTCACTCAGTCTCATGATTTTAGTGTTGAATCTGTTTAAATAAACTTCATTTTTTAAAGAAAGTAGTTTTTGATTGCTGCTTGGTTTTTCCTTCCATTTAGATAAAGAGCACAGGAAACAACATAGAAGTTCACATTATATCCCACAAATTATTTAGCATCAAAATTCCATGTGCGCCACTTAGTTGATAAATAGATGACATAAATTAATCTGAGAATTACTAGCAATTGAAATATGTGTAAAAAAGTAAATACCGCCTTTAAGATTTATTAAGTTGAAGATTTATTCAATGAGTTTTCATCTTTGAACTAAGTCATTTATGCTTGGAGTTTATATTGTTGTATCTTAATTTTTGAAAACTGTAAAAATGAGGAAAACACTGAAAAAGAAGTAAATTTACAGTTCATTTTATAGACACTTGTATTAGTTTTGTGTAAAAGAAAATTTGTCATTGTGAGTTATAGTCTGGAGAGATTGATGAATCATAAGTACCTGCTTCATTGATTTGTTAAAATACAATCAATGTTGATTTCTCTGAATACTTGTAGGAATAATGACTTGCCTAGATGCCATTAGTATATGGCCAGGCCAACCTGCATGCCATTACAGTCATACAAGAAACTTGTTGGTCGGCTGATCACACTTTAGACAATTTTTTTGAAATCTCTTAATTGAAAAATGGACAATTCCAAGTTGATGCTAAGACAAGTCCATTACTTAAATTCACTGAGATGAGGATAAATGTGCAACAGTGCATGGTCTTTGATGTGATTTTTTTTCTTGCAGGATTTCTGATCCATTTACACCTAATTCATTGTTATTCAACAAAATCAACTTTAAATTGGGATTTACAAGTAGATAAAAAAGAGGATACTTATGGAACTATTTTCTTGTGCTTTCAGAAATATAGAAGCAATGGCAGTGAATGTGTACAGTACGAGTTGTACACAAGATAACCTCAGTAGACATGATATTCTCACATGGGTTAATGACAGTTTACAAACTAGTTATGGTAAAATAGAAGAATTATGTACGGGTAAGTTCATTTTGCTTGCTTTGTTAGTTTTCATTAATCATTAATGCATACTGGATTATTTTACTGTTAAGCAATGTCACTTCAATTTACAAGATTATTCATCAGTGGTATTTCTTTACTAATCACGAGAACCATCTTTCATACATGATTAAAAAGATCATTAAAAACAGCTTTAATCAAATTGCATAAATAAGATTTTCAAACTGTGTATGTAGATGCACCTTGATGAGTTTTACCTGCTTCATTCATTTTCAGGTCAAATGTCAAGGTTATTTGGATATTTAATAACAGAACATTAAACTGGTTATTTTATCAAACTGCACTGACCTATGATTTTCAAACACTGTACAGTATGTAGATGTTACCATAATGAGTTCCTGTTAATTCAAAGGGCAATGTCGTTGGGATCTGTTGCAACAAAACATAAAACTGACCATAAAGTCAAAGTGTATTAACCTAGGAATTTCAAACTTTGCATGTAGATTGTACATTAGTACACTGATGAGTTCTACCAATTTTCAGGTCAAGGAAATAAAGGTCAAAGTCACTGGAACTGTAATAACTCAGTCTGCATGTCAAATTTTTTATGTCATATCGATTTTTTGCGCTTTCTCCCTTAAATTTGATACCTGATCATTTTTTAGCCCAAAAAATTTTAACAAAAGTTTTGGCCATTTTTTTAATTTTTTTTGAAAAAGGGTACACTTTATTTACATTCTTTGATACACATTCTAATTTTTTTTCCGGGGTTTTTTGCCTGGATACTGTTTCCATGTTTACGATGCAGTGAAGCAACAGAGTTACATTTTTTAAAAAATTTGGGGTTTTTATTTTTTAACCCAGATGTTATTTTTGTTCAGGTCTGCTATGTCAATTTATGGTAGTTTTTTCCTGGGAATTTTTTCCCTTGCCACACTTTTGTTTTTTCAAGATTTTAAAATCCCTTAGAGAATTTTTTTTCATTTTTAAATAATATCAAAAAGTAATTCACTCACGTAAAAAAGGTGGAAAAACTGTTAGTATTTAATAGTAAACTGTTAAAAGTCTTTCCCTAAAGCATTTTCATAAAATCTGCTTTGTGTCTATTCCAAGCTTAGCAAGGGAAAGCATAAGGTATCAGACCTCATTATACCCCCAAAAACGAAGTTTGGGGGGGTATATAGGAGTCACCCGGTGGTCGGTCGGTTGGTCGGTCGGTCCAGACGTCCGTTGCATTTTCCTTGTCCGGAGCATAACTTGAAAACTAATGGTTGGAATTCAATATAACTACATACAATGGTCAAGCACATTGAGAGGAAGTGCAGTGCACAAGAACCATAACTCTATCTTGACTAATTACAGAGTTATTGCCCTTTGTTACTTTTCCTTGTCCGGGGCATAACTTGAAAACTACTGGTTGGAATTCAAAACAACTTCATACAATTGTCAAACACAATAAGGGGAAGTGCAGTGCACAAGAACCATAACTCTATCTAAAGTAATTACAGAGTTATTGCCCTTTGTTGCTTTTCCATTGCTTTTTTTTTGTCCGTTGCATTTTCCTTGTCTGGAGCATAACTTGAAGACTAATGGTTGGAATTCAATATAACTACATACAATGGTCAAGCACATTGAGAGGAAGTGCAGTGCGTAAGAAACATAACTCTATCTTGACTAATTACAGAGTTATTGCCCTTTGTTAGCTCGACTTTTCTATGAAAAGGGGAGCTATCCTACTCGCCCCGGCGTCGGCGTTAGTGTTGGCGTCACACCTTGGTTAAGTTTTTCGTACCACCCCACTTTATTTCAGAAGTATTACAAGTATGGCTTTGAAACTTACCATACTTGTTCACCATCATAACCTCCATCTACAGACAAGAGTACATAACTCTGTCAAGGTTTTTGACAGAATTATGGCCCTTTTTTGACTTATAAAGTGTATTGAGCTTGGTTAAGTTTTTTGTACCACCTCACTTTATTTCAAAAACCATTGGAGGTATTGCTTTGAAACTGACCATACTTGTTTTACCATCACGACCTTCATCAACAGACAAAGGACATAACTCTGTCAAGGTTTTTGACAGATTATGCCCCTTTTTGACTTAGAAAATACATTGAATATGGGTAAAATCCACTTATTGCCTTAACCCTTTGAGATATTGCTTTGAAACTTTTAATGCTATTTCACATCATTACCCCCATCTGTACGCAAGAGAAGGTAACTCTGTCAAGGATTTGTTTTAAAAAATTAAGGCCTTTTTATCGACTTAGAATCTTGGTTAAGTTTTTAGTACCAGTCCACTTTTTGACTGAACTGTTTGAGATATTAATTTGAAAGTTGGAATACTTGTTTACCATCATGGTCCCAAAACATGGGCAGGAGAAGGTAATTCTGTTAAGGATTTTATTTGAATTAATGGCCCTTTTTGACTTAAAAACTCAGTTAAGATTTTCATTCTTGTCCACTTGTTGACTTAACCATTTGAGATATTACTTTGGAAAGGTTGGAGTTCTTATGTGCCATCATGAGACCCTATCTGTAAGCAAGAGAAGATAACTCTGTGAAAATGTTTCTTTGATTTGTACTTAGAAAATTCCCCTAGTTATACCCCCCAAAAACGAATGTTTGGGGGGGTATATAGGAGTCACCCTGTGGGTCGGTTGGTCGGTCGGTCGGAGCGGCCGTCGGTCGGTCGGTCGGTCGGTCCAGACGTCCGTTGCATTTTCCTTGTCCGGAGCATAACTTGAAGAAACTAAATGGTTGGAATTCAATTATAACTACATACAATGGTCAAGCACATTGAGAGGAAGTGCAGTGCACAAGAACCATAACTCTACTTGACTAATTTACAGAGTTATTGCCCTTTGTTACTTTTCCTTGTCCGGGCATAACTTGAAAAAACTACTGGTTGGAATTCAAAAACAACTTCATACAATTGTCAAGCACAATAAGGGAAAGTGCAGTGCACAAGAACCATAACTTTATCTAAAGTAATTACAGAGTTATTGCCCTTTGTTTACTTTCCATTGCTTTCTTTTGTCCGGACCATAACTTGAAAACTAATGGTTGGAATTCATTATAACTTCATACAATGGTCAAGCACATTGAGAGGAAGTGCAGTGCACAAGAACCATAACTCAATCTTGACTAATTACAGAGTTATTGCCCTTTGTTACTTTTCCCCTTGTCCGGGGCATAACTTGAAAACTACTGGTTGGAATTAAAAACAACTTCATACAATTGTCAAACACAATAAGGGGAAGTGCAGTGCACAAGAACCATAACTTTATCTAAAGTAATTACAGAGTTATTGCCCTTTGTTACTTTTCCATTGCATTCTTTTGTCCGGACTATAACTTGAAGACTAATTGTTGGAATTCATTATAACTTCATAACAATGGTCAAGCACATTGAGAGGAAGTGCAATGCTCAAGAACCATAACTCCATCTTGACTTCTTACAGAGTTACTGCCCTTTGTTACTTTTCCTTGTCCAGAGCATGACATAAAAAACTACTGGTTGGAATTCAAAACAACTTCATACAATGGTCAAGCACAATAAGGGGAAGTGCAGTGCACAAGAACCATAACTCCATCTTGACTATTTACAGAGTTATTGCCCTTTGTTACTTTTCCATTGCTTTTTTTGTCCGGAGCATAACTTGAAAGGACTAACGGTTGTAATTAAATATAACTTCATACAATGGTCAAGCACATTGAGCGGAAGTGCAGTGCACAAGAACCATAACTCCATCTTCAGTATTTACAGAGAGTTATTGCCCTTTGTTACTTTTTCCTTGTCCAGAGCATAACTTGAAAAAACTACTGTTTGGAATTCAATACAAACTTCATACAGTTGTCAAGGACATTAAAAGGAAGTGCAGTGCACAAGAGCCATTCCATTTTGACAAAATACAGAGTTACTGCCCTTTGATACTTTTCCTTGTCCGGAGCATAACTTAAAAGTACTGGTTGGAATTCAAAACAACTTCATAAAATGGTCAAGCACCAATAAGAGGAAGTGCAGTGCACAAGAACTTTAAAACTCCATCTTCAGTATTTATAGAGTTACTGCCCTTTATTCCTTTTCCTTGTCTTCTGGACTTATTACAGAGTAATTCAATAAAACTTCATTAATGGCCAACCACATGAAAGAAAATGCAACAACATACAAGAACCACAACTATCTTTAATCGCCCACAACCATAACTCTATATTTCAATTCTTTCACAAGGTATTCTGTTACTAGTAACATCCTCATTTCCGAAGCAGTCTTGTGGGGGTATTAATCACATTTAGTGATAGTTCTAGTTAAAGTCTTGTGTGCCCTTAACTGTCAAAGTTTTGTTTTATAGGCAAGCACTAAAAAAGTCGAGCGCGCTGTCCTTCTGACAGCTCTTGTTACTTTTCCTTGTCCGTGGCATAACTTGAAAACTACTGGTTGGAATTCAAAACAACTTCATACAATTGTCAAACACAATAAGGGGAAGTGCAGTGCACAAGAACCATAACTCTATCTAATGTAATTACAGAGTTATTGCCCTTTGTTGCTTTTCCATTGCCTTCTCTCTTTTTTTGTCCGGACCATAACTTGAAGACTAATGGTTGGAATTCAATATAACTACATACAATGGTCAAGCACATTGAGAGGAAGTGCAGTGCATAAGAACCATAACTCATCTAAAGGAATTACAGAGTTATTGCCCTTTATTACTTTTCCATTGCTTTCTTTTGTCCGGACCATAACTTGAAGACTAATTGTTGCAATTCATTATAACTTCATACAATGTCCAGCACATTGAGAGGAAGTGCAGTGCACAAGAACCATAACTCAATTTTGACTTATTACAGAGTTACTGCCCTTTGTTTCTTTTCCTTGTCCAGAGCATGACTTTTAAAAACTACTGGTTGGAATTCAAAACAACTTCATACAATGGCCAAGCACAATAAGGGGAAGTGCAGTGCACAAGAACCATAACTCCATCTTGACTAATTACAGAGTTATTGCCCTTTGTTATTTTTCCATTGCTTTCTTTTGTCCGGACCATAACTTGAAGACTTATTGTTGGAATTCATTATAACTTCATACAATGGTCAAGCACATTGAAGGAAGTGCAGTGCATAAGAACCATAACTCCATCTTGACTAATTACAGAGTTACTGCCCTTTGTTACTTTTCCTTGTCCAGAGCATGACTTGAAAACTACTAGTTGGAATTCAAAACAACTTCATACAATGGTCAAGCACAATAAGGGGAAGTGCAGTGCACAAGAACCATAACTCCATCTTGACTAATTACAGAGTTATTGCCCTTTGTTGCTTTTCCTTGTCCAGAGCATAACTTGAAAACTACTGTTTGGAATTCAGTACAACTTCATACAGTTGTCAAGACATTAAAAGGAAGTGCAGTGCACAAGAGCCATAACTCCATTTTGACAAAAATACAGAGTTACTGCCCTTTGATACTTTTCCTTGTCCGGAGCATAACTTAAAACGTACTGGTTGGAATTCAAAACAACTTCATACAATGGTCAAAGCACAATAAGAGGAAGTGCAGTGCACAAGAACTATAACTCTTATCTTCAGTATTTATAGAGTTATTGCCCTTTGTTTTCTTTTTCTTTGTCTTTTCTGGACTTATTACAGAGTAATTGAATTAAACTTCATCAATGGCCAACCACATTGAAAGGAAATGCAACATACATGAACCACAATTATCTTTAATTGCCCACAACCATAACTCTATGTTTCAATTCTATTAAAGGTATTCTGTTACTAGTAACATCCTCATTTCCGAAGCAGACTTGTGGGGGTATTAATCACATTTAGTGATAGTTCTAGTTAAAGATTTGATTTAAGGCAATCATTTCTTTATGTATAGATACCACAGCTAAATCAAGAGATGTGTATGATGAATTTGTAATCATATTACTGAAAAGTTTGTTGATAATGGCAAGTTACCCAGAAATATATAAATGAAATACTTCAATAAACATGTATTAGCTGAAGTACAACAATTTAGTGGATGCTTTTCATCTGAGACTTAATCCAACTTCCCAAGTTAAGAAACATGAAATTTAAGGTCTTAAATTCATAAGTATGTTCAAACCCCATCAGGGGCAAGTCATTGTTTCCTTGAGTAAGAAACTACACTAATTAGTACTGGTCCGTTTCAGAAAAGGATTCTATAGTGTTTCAATAAGCTTATAGCTTCAAACACAATCAAACTTAAACAATGTCATATAAACTATAAACTTAACTCAATTTTATATTATTTTTCTTTTCGGTATTTTGAATAAAAATAGGGAGAACAATGCATTACTTGTTAAAAATAAGTCATTATTGAATTTGAAGCATTTTTAGTCCATTACTCATGTGTTCAGAGGTAAGCTTTGGTGATTGCCTCAAGTCTGTCATATACATCATCATTACCCATACTTTTCTTAAACCTACATTCTCCAAGAATAAGTAAAATCTTCTGAACCTGATAATACAAGGATGTAACTTGTTTGCTAAAATACAAATATTTGTGACATGAAATTGTGGAATGGGTCTTAAACTGATTGTACATGTATAAATAAAGCTTTTAGTGGCCCCCACCCGATCGGAATTGTTTTGCCTACATATGTATATTTGCTATGTGCCAGTGATCAGAAGTGGAATTCTTTAGATACAAGGTCATAATGATCATTAGACGAAAATAGTTTCCTTTCATCTCTTGCTTTCTGCAATGCAACAAGATGATCTTGGTCTGCTTAAGTTACATGAGTAGGTACTGTTTCTGCCCGCAGGCTTATAGTTAATAAGGAATAGACAATTTACACAATGGAAATTATCTCAATTTATATTTCCACTTCACTTGTATAAAATGCTTTCATGAACACTTCCTGATTAATGTTTTAAAACATTTCAATTATTGCAATAGTGGATTATGTTGAAGTGTTTTATTTATCATCTGCTTGATAATATTCCCTATTTTAAGTGTCAGGCTTTAACTCTGCAGACTTAATATACTAAATGTGTGCTTAACGGGATCTTTAATATGAACTGTGACACACAGCTGGCAATAATATATTCAATACTGACAATCTTATTGGGAAATGAAGTGGTCCATTGAGTATCCTTAACATGCGTGTGAGGTTGCCAATACAAACACTAGGTCATGAATGTTTGATAGTTATATACTGTATACTACATTTGAGCCGTGTCATGACAAAACCAACATAATGGGTTTGCGACCAGCATGGATCCATACCAGCCTGCGCATCCGTGCAGTCTGATCAGGATCCATGATGTTCCCTTACCAAGTCTATTACAAGTAGAGAAACTGATAGCGAACAGCATGGATCCTGATCAGACTTCGCGGATGCGCAGGCTGGTCTGGATCCATGCTGGTCGCAAACCCATTATGTTGGTTTTGTCATGATGCGGCTCATTTATTTTCATGTTTAAAGTGACCTAAACTTTAGATTACATATGTGTGTATTAACAGTGTATTATTACTCTAAAGCTTACTGTATAGCTTAGTCAGTAACTCACTCTGTTAGTACTTATGCTTTTAATGTTCTCTACATAAAAACATGATGAAGATATAAAGTCAAAAATTTTGAATTTCCAGGCAGCTTAGTTATGAAAAAAGTAAAAATCAACACGAAACTTGAGCACGAGTTTATTCAAAATTTCAAGTTACTGCAGTCGAACTTCAACAAACTCGGAGTGGATAAGGTGAGGGGGGAAGGTGGAAACCTTCCAGACAAAAGCAACCAATCAAGAGCCTTACATGTTACCTGTGCTAATATATGTCACTCTTTGTAGAACTCCACTGGTTGTTAATGGGCTTATAAAATAGCTCACTTATCCACCTTTTCTCAATATGTTGCATTTTGTAATGATGTACAGTGATATTTATTTATATTATGTACATTTATTAAAAAGAGGGTTGGAGAAAGAATGTTAGAGGTGAGATCTATATAAGAAACAGGTAAATTACAACCAGTGGAGAAACACAAGCATGTTGGGGGTGTTGGCATGACAAGTATAGACTTTGACAAAAAAACAACATTATATAGCTATATACTTTCAGGTCATGTGTACTCCTGTATGTTCCTTCTATATATAATCATAACCATCAGTCCTCTGTCCAGCTTTGTTGTTTTTTCCTTTAATCACTTCACAATATATTCATATTGGCATTAAACTTCATCTCTTGCACAAACTTATCTAAAACTGTATACATGGAAATCTGAGTATTATATATCTTTGGAAGTAAAATGTTATGATTTGGGTGTTAAAGATACAAATTGAGTGCTCAGGTATCTGTAGTACATGTATGTTATATATAGAAGGTTACTATATAGGATTCATGCTGCATTTATACCCCTATATGCTTCATGGATTTTGATGTCTCATTGTGTTTGATAGTACAGATACAATATAGCAGAGTTTTTCTTTTCAAGAAAAGATCAGTATGGTTGTGGGAGAAATTTTTATATCAGTACGTAGACATCAGAATCCATACAATGAGTGACTAAACTTTGATGCATGCCTACTAACTACAAATATGTTTTACAGTTACTAGCATCAGTTATATTACTACAATATTGAATCAATCATAACCTTATATACTTAACAACCTTTTTCTCTTCCTTTCGTTCTTTGCAGGGTCAGTTTTGCTTAAAAAAGTGAAATTCGGTACAAATTTAGAACATGAATATATCCAGAATTTCAAGTTTCTACAATCAGCGTTCTCAAAATTAGGCGTGGACAAGGTAAGTGGAAACGGCGTGACTTTAAATGTGTCTCGATCGTGCCACTATAGCCTTTATAAATACTTTGCGTGTGTATCTCTTGAACTTATTTCAATTTCTACACATGTATTTTTGTCCATTCACAGGTTCTTGCTTGTGTATTGTGGGAAGTTTTTGTTTTTTCTTGGTCATTTATTCCCAGTTATGATATTTTATGATAATTTTGTGTATTTACACATTTACCATAGATAATTCTATTATTATCTTAAAGGGAATTAATTTATTTTTTAGTTGGTCATGGAAGTCTGAAACCTTGAACATATTTTCTTTATAAGCACTCCTTTCAAACATTATAAATTGTTGTAGATTATTAAAGAACGAAAGAAAACATATTTGTATTTGGTCATAGCTTTTTTTACAGTTCCAGAAATCCTACACTTTACAAATCTTTATACAAATGTCAGAGTAAATTTGTTGTCTCCGCTTGGTTTTTACCTTTAAATTATGATTATTCTCTACAAAAGATTTGATTTATTGTAGGCAATTTATTATTTCAAATTTTCACCATTAGTTGTAGCTCCTTTTGTATATATTGTATATCTTTGTGTACCATATGTTACACATATTTTCTAGTCAGACTGGCACACACATATGTTACTGCACACACGTTATGCTTAATTAATCTTAATTCAATCAACTACTTTCATAGTTTACATTGTTGTAGATTTTATTTTTTTATGCAGATCAATATGAAATTGTTTAGTAAGCATTTCTAGAAAACATTTGCTTCATAATGCTTTTTAGATAATTTTGAGACTTGTTATTGTAATACTAAGTACTCAATTGGAACCTTTCATTTGCTATTCTATCTAAATAGAGTATTAAGATTAAAGATTTGAGTAGAGCATTTGTGTAAGGATTATTGTTGGTGACTAATTTTGTTATAAATCATACAGTATTTGCGAACATATAAGAAGGAATATGGCCATCAAGTTTTGAATTCAACAGAACTGAAAAACAAACATAAACTGGCTGCTTTGTCAAAGAACATCAATAATGGTCAGCTCCTGACAGTACTGGTCAAATTTCCCATCCTACATAAAAATTTCCTTATACATCTGACTTTGAAAGCCTTTACATGACTTTTTCACAAGAAACATAGTATGAATTTAACAGAGTATGAATTTTTAGCAAAGCTGAACTATAACATCCTTTGATGGTCAACTTTATTTATTTCCTGATAGATAGCTTTAAGCTTTCTAGAATTATCACCAAACTTAGTAACCCTTTTTGATGGTACATTATTTATTAAGTGTGCTTATATAAATATTGCCAGCCTTTTTAAGCAGCAACTAAAACCCTACATACAGCTTTTTTTTGTCCTCTTTATCAATTTGCTCGAATAATTTTTTTTTGTTGCCCTTTCGAGGAGCTTAAAAAATCTTTAGTTAGCTGAAATATCTTTAAATGGTCCATTGATATTTCACTTTAAATGACTTCTTGTCATATTTCTTTAAGTGTGCATCTATAAATGGGCTCAGTATGAGTGTTAATAATGACCTGAGTGATCATGCTGAAATTTTCAATCCTTACAGTAGTAGAGAGACATATGATAAAATGATATTCCATTTATTTGATTTCACAACATTCAGAAATTTAACACACATGCTTAATAAATGTTATGGTGTGTGAAAAGTCAATGCTGCAGAATGATGTTTGTTGCCTGCTATACAAGTATGCCTACCCCGACTGTTGATCACAGTCTGTCAGCTTCATCACATGAATGTGTCACATAGAATGGGTCAAAATGTGTGTGCTATACTGAATATTTCAGCATGACCAATATTGATGCACATATTTAGGCCATTTATACAGGCACACTTATAAGATTTGTTTAGTGTATATACATTGAATGGTTTGGTGATGGTATGTTTATATTCTTTTAATGATATGGTGGCACTCGTTTGTTTTATTAACATTTTCAGTAGTACCTCTAATATTTTTAATTGTTTTTAATAATTACAAATATGTTTTATATATTAACACATTTTCTTTTATACATCTTAAATTACTACTACATGATGATTGATTAAGTGAAATTATCTTTTGTATAAGTTACAATTCTTTCAGGAATGTAGAATTTATATGTCCTGCAAAATTATGAATGTTTGATGGTTTTACCTAATATATGCTTGATTCTGAAATAATACAAGGTCTCGTCCAATGTTGCAATACAACTAAGTGTGTGAAAGATTTAAATTCACTATAGATGAGCTAGTCTTTATTCTATCACTTTCATCAGGTTTTTCAAAATATCTTAATCTGAATGTGAAATAACTGGTTCAGAAATTGTTTAAGATTGCCCTTTATTGAGATAGTTTGAATTAAAGTGATGATTGATATTTAACCAAGATGTGTGAAGAAAATTTCTTATTAAGAAAGCTATTTTATAATGTTACTTATATGACTTTTTTTCCAAGTGTTAATTTTATCAACCAAATGACAGATAATTACATGTAAGTAAACTATGTAAATAGGAAATGGTGAATGTGCTTTAAAATTTAGATGAATCAGTACTAAGTTTACAATGGAAAAGTTCATCTAATCAATACAATTAAGTGATAATGTTTGCCAAAGAATGCTGTCTACGTAAGTTTATGAATGGCCAGTATTCAAGTAATCTTATCTTTAATATTGATAGATTCTACTCCCTATTATAACTGTACAAATGTCTGAACTTATCAAAGGAATAAGCCAGTATGTTGCCCAGCTGATGTTACTAGTGTTGAGATATGGTGCACAAAACTTACTAGGATAAATATTAGCATAGTACCAATGTTTATGATAGGATGTTGTTTTTATCGGAAGAAATTTAAATATTAGAAATCTTACACATAGTACTATATTCTGGTTGAATTCTGTTAACCACTTGTCTGTTTTAAAGTTTTAATGATAATTATTCTCCATCAGCATGTATATCATTTTCATTTTCAACTACATTGATGATTTGGTGTTTCGTTATGTATGGTTTTGTTAATTCATATATGACTTGTTTTTATGATGATTGATTTTATTTTTGATAGATCAGTTGTTTGAAGAATCACTGTAACATTGTCATTACTCATAAACAGTGTACATTTAAATATAAATCATATCTAACACAGGAATGTTTACCATAATACCATTTTCTGGAATCGGTTATTAATAACTTCATGTAGATGCTATAATAGATGGTCTATGTTTGGCCATGGTCAGCCTACACATTCTTCATTCTTCAAGTCTGCTTGATTTTGATATTAATCTATCTTCAATGGACGATTACATGGCAAAATTTAGAAGAATAAAGATTAAAAAGTCTTTCAAATGAGTTAATTGAGCATCCTTGGCCAAGTGGTTACGGATGTTGTCATAGGTGAATTATGGTTAGAAAATTTGTTATTCTGATAACTCGACATAAGTTATTTTCTTTGCAATTAAAAGATTAAGGTAACATAATAAGTTCAAAAATTAATTTGGCAGCAAACTGTTATGGTAACAATTCCTTGTACTCATTGTTTGCCACCAGTATATAACCAGTACAGCCTGCACTTCCAGTCAATCTGACCAGGCTCTATACTGTTGCTAACTAACTTCAATATTTCATTGTTATATCCCCTAGTTCCAAAAATGGAACCTGGACCAGTCCCTTTGTTTGATACTACTGTTAGAATTAAGCTTTGAAGTTTAATGCACACCAATGATGCCAATATATTAGATTGAATTTTTATGTACATGTTTTTGTTTTCTTTAATGAGAATTAAATGAGAAGTACTTTCGAAAAAGAAAAAAGGGACATTGTAAAAATATTTTGATAATTTTTTTTTTCCTAAATGCATGATTAAAATGTTCCATAAAATGATATTTTTTCTCCTAATTATTGAATTTTAGAGCACTTGTTTTTTTAGCAGAACTATAGCTTATTTTGAGGAAAGATTGCTATTTGTTTTTCAGATGATACCAGTAGAAAAATTGGTAAAAGGTAAATTTCAAGACAATTTTGAGTTTGTTCAATGGTTCAAGAGGTTTTTTGATGCTAACTATCAAGGTCAGGAATATGACGCTGTAGGCGCCCGAGACGGACAATCACTAGGCTCATCTAGTAAAGCTGCTCCTAAAAAAAAGCCACAAGTAGTGTCTCAACTTGCAAAAGGTGGAACAAAAGGTAAATGTTTTGGTCACATATTTGTGTCTCCTGCTACAAAGTAATGGCAACATAAAGGGATCACTTCTCTGTTGTCTGTCTGTGCGTCCATCAGTCAAAACACTCAATACAACTGCTTAAGCTTTGTAGGTATTGTAATTTAGGTTTTCTAATGAAAGCTTAAAGAATGCAATCATACCTCCTCTAAACGAAATTGTAAGTTCATGTAACATAAAACTTTTCAAGATGTTTATAGAGTGACTGCAGTAAATTGGTATGATTACTTTTGAGCATCATGAATTCAGTTATTTAAGGGGGTTAGTCTAGGTCAGTTTTCTTTAATTGTTCAGCAATTTTTTTTGTGTTGCCTCTACGGAGTAGTGGCGACATATAGGGATCACTTCTCCGTCGTCTGTCTGTCCGTCCCTCACAAAACTTGTCCGGACTACTCCTCATAAACTACTGGTGCAATTTCATCCAAACTTTACAAGAATGATCAGTACCAAGTCTAGTTGTGCATATTGTCAGCATTTTCCGGTTCAATGATTTTTGTCAGAGTTATGGCCCTTTAATAATTTTTATTTTTAAAGTTTGTCCGGACTACTTCTCTTATACCACTAATGTAATTTCAATGAAACTTTACAGGATTGATCTGTAGCTCAAGTCCTTGCGCATATTGCATGGGTTTTCTGGTTGAATGATTTTTGGCCGAGTTATTGCCCTTTGATAAAAAGGTGTTTTTTTCTGTGTGTTGCCAGATACACAAAAGCTTGTCCGGACTACTCCTCATAAACTACTGGTGCAATTTTATCCAAACATTACAGGAATGATCAGTACCAAGTCTAGTTGTGCACTGTCTGTCTGTCTGTCCGTCTGTCACAAAACTTGTCCCAACATGAAATTGGCCATCATGAGGCGACACATGTGATCACTGATCGCTCTTGTTATCAAAATTGTGTTGTATTTTTACTTTTGACAAGATTTAATTTTGGTAAGCTTAGATATAACTAGATCACAATGTCAAATTCATGAAAACAATGCAATCCTTCTAGAAGTCACTGTTAGGTTTGGATTTTATAAATTTTTGTATGTCTGAGTGTATGTTTCAATAACTTTGAGCAAGTAGACTGAGGTGAAATATCATGGCCCCTTAGATACAACCCCCTGTTTAACAAAGTTGTAAGGTGGGTATACTGACAACAGTGTGTCCATCTGGCAGTCTGCTTGTCCACCAGACATCGGGTTTTGCTTGTCTTGGGCTAATCTCAAAAAGTATTGGTGATATCAACCAGAAACTTCATAGATGGGTAAATCTAAATGAGGAGAAGTGCATTTCCCAAGAATCATTAGTTACCTTTATTAAATTTTGAGTTACTGCCCTTTCTTTTAATTTCCATACTTAATTTTATCTAGAGCATAACATTTAATATATCAGCATGAAACTTCTTTCACAAAGTGGCATGTCAGGATATTTGTGTCAGGATAGTGGCAATGTGAATTAGATTATTTACTAAAATGTATTTTTGTGTGAAGTGATTGATATGAAAATACATTTTCAAGAGATATAGTCTTTTAATTCATTACATGAAGAAGATACCCAGTTATCTCAGGGCTTCAGGCTGAGGAAGCAGCCTCTCCCCGGGAAAAAATAAAATGGTATTTTTATAAAAGGGAAAGAAAAAACATGCTGTCAATTCAATTTTTGGGGAAAAACTGCATTATTTCAAACAATTATTCTTTAGGGCAGCTGCCCTTAAACTGCCCCTTCTATAGAAATAAAAAAAAGCCCTTTGTAATAATCTCGGTGGTTTTATTGTTTTGCCAACTATTCCTGGAATAATGCATGTAAGGGTCTTCTTCCATAAAAATGGAAAATGGCCATAAGCATATTTGTGACTAAAAACTCAGTAAAGAAATTGTTTTATTACATGCTTTTCGGTGGTTTATAGAAATATATCAGTGATATAAAACTGGTAATTTCACTGTTTGAAACAGTGAAATTACCACTTTGATAATTTCACTGTTTTGAATTTAAGCCCCTTACGTTGTTTCAGTGAAATACCAGCGTGCACAGTACTGGGTACCAACTTAATGACGTGACGTCGTCAATGACGTCACGTTGTATTATAATTTGGCGCGCTTTTCATTCAGTATTAGATTTAATGTCTTTTTAAAACGTTTATTTGCATATAATGAAAAGAAAATTTGTTTAGTTTAGTGTAAGATCGAAATATATTTCACCTTGTGAACACCAAAAGTTCATATTTCACTCGTGGCTGCGCCACTCGTGAAATATACCTTTTGGTGCTCACTCGGTGAAATATATTCCGATCTTACACTGAACTAAAAAAATATCCTCTATTTAATTTAAGCTTTTCAGTGGATTACTGATTTATCCGTGAAAATTATATTTGATAATATCACAGTGAAAATTATCAAAATATAATTTCACACTTTTCTATGACGAAACTACTTTTTTAAGATTTTCCCCATGTGGTACCTCAATTTTATTTTTGCTGACAATTCTGACAATGTCAGGCTGTTTAAAGAAAAGCAAAGCTGAAATTAATAAATAACTTAAATGTCAAAAGTAATAAAAAGAAGAAAACTTACTTCTATTCATTCAAATTCCAATCACCAAATTTCGTCTCTAAATTTCTTTGTTTCATTTTTACAGTCTGAAAAATACATTCCTTCCACATGCAAAACTGCTCTTGATGACATTTGGGCATATTAATGGTTGGACTTTTTCTACTACAAGAATTGTTTGTTTTTATTATTAAAACAAGCGATCATTCATATTTTTTTTAATAAAATGAATAATATCACCGTCAGTTAACTATTTTTTCAGCTCAAGACTTCTTGTATTTAATGAGAAATTCCGACTTAATGGGGCTCTCAATGGGGAAAACAGATTTTAATATTAACTTTAATATAATGGAAATTTCGTTTTAACTTGTTTTTAAGCATAAAATAAAAAAAAAATTTGTTTTGTTGTTGTGTAAGATGTAATTATATTTCATCTTGTGAACTTTAAAAACAGTATTCTCACGAGTGGCGACGCCACTCATGAGAATACTGTTTTTAAAGCCCACTCGATGAAATAAAATTTCATCTTACACACAAGCAAACAAATATCCTCTATATATTATCAGTGACAGCAAGCAGTAAAACAACAACTACTCAGAGAAGTCCAGCTGCACCACAGCGGGCACCTGCTGCCAATAAACCCACAGCCGTTATCGGTCATCAAGCTTCAGGAGATTCGGCTAAAATTCACGCTTTAGAAACTCAGGTAACATAGTTATGCAGTGTTCAAATTTTTCATGTATATTTTAAACTCACTAAAACATCATATGCCAATTACTGATGAGATTTACAGAAATAATACTTTGAAAATTCCATTTCAAATTGTTTGACAAATTCTATTGCTGATAGAAAAGAAAACATTAATAGCATATGTCTAAAATACTGATAGTCAGATTTCAATTGAATTTCACAGGAATGATCTTAAAGTGACTGTTTTCAAAGTTTGTATAAATATTATAGACATGTTTCATATAAAAACAGGCTGATATGGGCTATGGTATTTTTTTTTTTATCCCCCGCCGATGGAATCGGGAGGGGATATAGTTTTGGCGTTGTTCGTCCGTCCATCCATCCGTCCGTCCGAATTTCGTTTCCAGAGTAGTTCTCTGCAACTACTGGCTGGAATTCAACGAAACTTTATAGGAATCATCAATATCATGAGGAGATGCGCATATCGTCAGCTTGTTCCGGTCCGACCCTTTAACTCAAGAGTTATGGCCCTTTATTAGTCCCCTACCGGTTTACCGGAGGGGACTTTAGGTTTACCCTCTGTCCGTCCGTCCGTCTGTCAGTCCGTCCGTCCACAAAACTGGATCCCGCGATAACTTGAAAAGTACTGAAAATATTTTTAAGAAACTTGGTATATGGATAGATGGCAGTATGGAGATTATGCACATCTTTTTCTTTACTTCCTATGTTGAAAATTCTGGTTGCTATGGCAACAAATAGGCTGAAAATATGGCAAATTTTACACATAAACTGGATCCCACGATAACGCAAAAAGTACTGGAAATATTTTTATGAAACTTGACATATGAGTAGATGGCAGTCTTGAGATTATGCACGTCTTTTTCTTTTCTTCTTATGATGAAAATTCTGGTTGCTATGGCAACAAATAGGCTGAAAATATGGCAAATTTTACACATAAACTGGATCCAGTGATAACGCAAAAAGAACTGGAAAGTACTGAAAATATTTTTATGAAACTTGGTATATGGATAGATGGCAGTCTTGAGATTATGCACGTTTTTTTTTTACTTCCTATGTTGAAAATTCTGGTTGCTATGGCAACAAATAGGCTGAAAATATGGCAAATTTTACACATAAACTGGATCCCATGATAATGCAAAAAGTACTGGAAATATTTTTATGAAACTTGACATATGAGTAGACGGCAGTCTTGAGATTATGCACGTCTTTTTCTTTTCTTCCTATGATGAAAATTCTGGTTGCTATGGCAACAAATAGGCTGAAAATATGGCAAATTTTACACATAAACTGGATCCAGTGATAATGCAAAAAGAACTGGAAATATTTTTATGAAACTTTACATATAGGTAGATGGCAGTCTTGAGATTATGCACGTCTTTTTCTTTTCTTCCTATGTTGAAAATTCTGGTTGCTATGGCAACACATAGACTGAAAATATGGCAAATTTTACACAAAACTCAAAAAGTACTAGAAATATTTTTATGAAACTTGACATATTGGTAGATAGCAGTCTTGAGATTATGCATGTCTTATCTGTTCTTCCTATTTTGAAAAAATATCAGTTGCCTTGGCAACAAATAGGCTTAAAACATGGCAAATATAACAATATTTGTGATTAGTCAAAAAGAGCTGAAAATTTTTATGAAATTGCATCTTTAATTCAAGAGTTATCTCCTCTTTAAGAATTTTGCTTTTAAAATGTTATATTTTGGTAACAAGGATGTTTCAAATATTAACTTTAGAGTGTCCTTCAGTCCGTCTGTCTGTCTGTTCATAAAAACTGTTTCCTGTGATCACTTTTAAAGAACTTTTCCAACAAATTAAAAACACACAAAAATTGAAACACTAGTGAATGGCCAATGGCCCTTCAGAATGTTGATGGGGTTCTAACCGGTAGGGGACTTATGGATTGCTTGCAATACTATGATAATTGCTTGTTAGTTATGTAGTATGCATATAGAGTAAAAATCGTTTCCGGAGTAGTTCTCTGCAACTACTGGCTGGAATTCAACGAAACTTTATGGGAATCATCAATATCAAGAGGAGATGGGCATATCGTCGGCTTGTTCCGGTCAGACACTTTAACTCAGAGTTATGGCCCTTGATTAGTTATGAAGTATGCATATAGAGTAAAAATCGTTTCCGCACTACTTCTCTGCAACTACTGGCTGGAATCCAACGAAACTTTATGGGAACCTTCAATACCAAGAGGAGATGCCCATATCATCGGCTTGTTCCGGTCAGACACTTTAACTCAGAGTTATGGCCCTTGATTAGTTATGCAATATGCATATGGAGTAAAAATCGTTTCCTCGCTACTTCTCTGCAACTACCGGCTGGAATTCAACGAAACTTTATGGGAACCTTCAATACCAAGAGGAAATGCGCATATCGTCAGCTTGTTCCGGTCAGACACTTTAACTCAGAGTTATGGCCCTTGATTAGTTATGCAATATGCATATGGAGTAAAAATCGTTTCCGGAGTAGTTCTCTGCAACTACTGGCTGGAATTCAAGGAAACTTTATGGGAATCATCAATATCAAGAGGAGATGTGCATATCGTCGGCTTGTTCCGGTCAGACACTTTAACTCAGAGTTATGGCCCTTGATTAGTTATGCAATATGCATATGGAGTAAAAATCGTTTCCGCACTCCTTCTCTGCAACTACTGGCTGGAATTCAACGAAACTTTATGGGAACCTTCAATACCAAGAGGAGATGCGCATATCATCGGCTTGTTCCGGTCAGACACTTTAACTCAGAGTTATGGCCCTTGATTAGTTATGCAGTATCCATATAGAAAAATATTTGTTTCCTCGCTACTTCTCTGCTACTACTGGCTGGAATTCAATGAAACTTTATGGGATACTAAGAGGAGATGTGCATATAGTCGCCTTGTTCCGGTCAGTTACTTATAACTCAGATTTATGGCCCTTGATTAGTTATGTAGTATGCATACATCTCATTGGCATTTCCAGATTTTACTATTTAACACAAAGTTATGGCTCTGTTATTGCCCTGAATATTTATCAAGTTCAAAGAATATTACTTATTATGCCATGATTAATATATAAATAAAGCCTTATGTCTTCAGTTGTTGTGTTAATAATAACCAGTACTCGGCGGGGGATATAAATTCAACGAATTTGCTTGTTCCATTAGAGAAAGGGACTGACATTTTCAAATATCCTCTTTAAAAAAAAATTGTCAAGACTGATGTTGAGTAAACTGTGCAGAGTTGTTCCTTTTCAAACCTGAAGCCATAATTGTTGAAAGAAAATTTAGTAACTTCTTTTGTGCTGAGAAATGATCATCTGACTTTATCTTTAACCTGCAAAATTTCTAAAATGGACTTTTCCAACATTCAATTTTGGAACTGTCCATTATCAACTTTGAGAGTATCGAGATAAAAAATTAAAGTTAGTCAGCCAACAATATAGAGAGCTTGGTCACACTGCACAGATATGCTGGCTGGCCTGGCTCTATTCTGGTGGCATATCACTGAATCACTTTCGTTCGTTAATAGCAACATGTCAGTCATTTTATCGAAATAGATCAATTTATGTTTGACTTATAAGGAAAACAAGGAATAAATACAGAATATAATGTTTATTCTTGTGTTGACAGTTAAATGAGTTGCGGTTTACTGTGGAAGGATTAGAGAAGGAGCGAGATTTTTACTTTGGTAAACTAAGAGATATAGAGATTATATGTCAAGAAGATGAGAGCTCGGATTCTAACAAACGCATTATGGAAATTTTATATGCAACTGAAGTAAGTGATGGCTTATTTATCAATCCACATTTACCTTTTGTCACTCTAAATTTTTGTAGCGGACTTGCCTACTAGAATTTTCTGTGGTTTAATTTAAGATATCTTAAAATGAATATGTTAAAACTAAGCAAACTGCAGTATATAGACTGCCCATCAATATAAGAGATATTATAGATTCTTGTACCCATGAGGAATATAATCAACTAAGCTTTATAGTACCGGTATCTCTTTCTTACAAACATTTGTATATAATCATTTCAGTCTTGTATTGTGCACAAAATATACATATGGAATGTATAGAAAATAATGGAATGAGCTTATTGAATATAAAACTAAAGACATGTCATGTTTCTGGAGACGAAAAAAGTTTTCACTGCTTTGTCAGCATTTTAAGCTTGACTATTTGAAGAATCGGGAGAGCTGTTGTACTCCCTTGCAAGTTGGTATCTCCAACACTACAGAAGGGAATGGGATGAAAAAACTGCACACACGTATTTGAGAGCGTAGTAAGAGGTCATTGTCCTAGGCCAATAATTCTAACATGGATTTTGACAGAATTATATCCCTCTTTAAACTTCAAAAATTCTTCCATTATTTACTATTAAGCACTGAGAATAGTCAAGCACGCTGTCCTACCAACAGTTCTTATTGTACAGACAAAACAAAGTACTTTAAAAGATATAAAATGTTTGAATCTTGGCCATGTTAAACTAAAGAGAAATACATTTCATATCAGTTTGCCTTAGCTATATTCTCTATGGAAAGGACTGTGTTGTTTTAGTGTTGATATATTCTATATTTCATAGCCTCATGTTATATATAATTTTATATTTTAACAGGATGGTTTTGCTCCACCAGAAGAAGATGCTAATGGTGAAGAAGAAGAATATTAGTATCCACTATGTTTGTGTCTGTTCTTATTTCCATCTGTCTGTCCGACCCACTTACTCCACCGCAATCTGGAAGGATTTGTTCAAAATATACACTAAAGTTACTGTAGAGCTTTAGGTTAACATGCAGTTGGATAAGAGAGTAAAATTGTTTAAACAATCAGTTTAGTTGATAGCGTGGACTTCGAATTTTTTTGAAAATATAGCTTAAAAAAGTGGTTATACCAAGAATGAAGGAAAGAACATTTGGCTGAAATGTAATGGATTGCTTATGAGAGTTTCTTGAGCTGTCAGACATGTTTTAATGATGAATTTTACTTTATTTTCTCCTTGTAATTTTGAGAACTGATCATTTGTTATAAACATGTATAGAGGATGAGACAACAATTGGTGAATATATACAAATATAACATAAATGTTTGCTAACCTAGAGGGATCTGATAGTGCCAGTGTTTACATGTGTATGTCAGCAGTACAATATATAATAATATGAAAAAACACTATATGTTACAGATATTTTCTAGCTATTTATTTGTATATTTTGAGTTAAGTGCTTCAAGAAATGTTAAATTTCGGGTAGTTTTGTATACATAGAAATTTTGTTAAATGTTAATTTGATATCTAATAGCTTTCAAGCAATGTATTATATAATAACCGATTTCTGTTGCTTTTTTTTTCAATTCAACAATTGGAGCTTAAACCCCATGGAATAAACCATGTCACTGCTGATCCCCAAATGCTTACGTAAAAGCTGTTTGTAAGAAAGTGATTATAAATGTTCACAGTTTTTGGATGTTCCGTGGTCAACATGTTTTATACATTACACCTTGACATTGTTGGACATACAAGGCTTTTATCATGTAGGAATGTTATCTTATCTGTGTCATACAGTTGACTTTCTGTATATACATCAATGCCAAAATTCCTCCTCCTTATAACATTATTTTCAATCTGTCTCTGTTTGTTTTGATAATTTTCTACTTCATAAATTTGTGGAGAATTACCATTGAAAACATTGTCTGAGAATAATACTCTGAAAACTTGTAATCTTGTATCATGACAGTCATAGATGCTATGTATAACCATGGAGACACAGAAATGGAAGACATTGTACCAGATCTGATCATTTTAAGTGCTATTGTTCATTATATGTGCATGAGCTCTTTTTAAATATACCCCACCCCTCTCTCCCACCAGTGCATGTACTGACCATTGCTTTATTCTACAGACCATAGTCAAAGTGCTTTAATACTTCATCAGTCCTGCTAGTTTTGCTACTTCCTCTTTTGTCCAATAATCTGGACAAAAACAATGTTACATGATTGATCTTGTTTTGTATAAATCTTACTTGTCACTGATTTCTTTGTCTGTCCCTCTTACCCATATTTCTTGATTTGGTAGCCAATTTTTTCGTATTTCGTATTATCCATGATGAAATATGACCTTCCCATACATAGATACAGGACTATTAGCTGTAGTTGCTCACAGGTACTGAATCTAATTGTATTACAGACAAGAGTTAACTATAATTAATGTGTCCATGGTAATCAGGGTATAACATGTCTATACAAGTAAAAATAAACTAGATTATTTGAGAAAAAATTTAGACTGTTTTCTTGAACTTGCACTTGATTATAGCTGTATTTTGCTATTTAACAATAAAGTTATATTTTTTTCTTTTTGGATATTGAACTGTTGAGACTTTCTCTGTTTTGTTTTGGGAATTGGTGATTATTTGAAGCATGCATAAATGCATTCTTTATTAAGTTGTGCTTTCTTCAGTCGGGAATAATGCGTTTTATATTGCTCTTCAAAGTAGAAAATATAGAAAAATAACAATACATTATATATACATGTATCACAGCTCACCATGTTTAAATGTAAATTTTTAATGTTTCTTGTTAAGAATTATGTTTGTATACAATATTCATTGTAAGCTTGAATGTGGACATGTCAACACCATTTATATATAAATGTTAGATCTATTTATTTCAATAAATGTATTATATATATACTAGTGTCATCACTGATGAAATGCTTACCTCCTTTTTTTCGACTTTATTTGCAGAGCCTATATAAGATTATTTTTTTTCTTATTTTTAACAAGTGTTCATAATCATTTATTTCTACAGTGAAAAGAATAATCTACTTAAGCAGGTTTTATGATGTTAGACAAGTTTAAAGGTTACAGTAACAAGTGAGAATCTCAATTGTTGAAATATGAGAATATATGATACAAATGTTTATACTTATAATTAAAATTTTGAATTGTTAATTAACAAAACTGTATCTGTAAATGAGTATGAAACAGTAAACAAAATATGCTTGTACATCAACCTCCATTTATTTTAGCAATAACGCTGTCATTAAATGAATAGAAGGTAGTGTGAATTTTCTATTTTATTTTATACTTTTTTTTCTTACTGTCATAATTATTGTCCATGTTCTATTCAAAAATGTAAGATCGAATATAAAATTTTATTACACCACTTTTGTAACAAAAAGATTAATATCCAGGTTGATTAATTTGGTAATCAGAACTTTAATTATCAGAGAAAACTTTTACAGTCATAAAATAACTTGTGTACAGATATTTGTTTTTCTTTCATAAAATACATTTTCATTTCAGTACAAAGTTATACATGTGTTAGATATTGTGACTTTTAAACACAAACCAATAAATGTTGCACCTGTTGTTTTTTTACATTATTTATTACAAACTCAGTTGTGCTCTGCAAGTTTAAGCTGTATTTTGCACCAAATCAATCATCAGTTTGTATTTGTTATAATTAATTAGAGTTCATGTTACAATGATAATACATTTGCATAATTCTTTGTTGGTGTTCTTTATTTTCCTTGAATGATTTTAAGTTCTCTGTTAGTGTAATGGAGAACAGAGGTACAGGTGAACTTCATGATAATCTTGTACAACATTTATCTCCCCTAAAACAAGTCCCCTAATCCACTTTAAACATGCTCAGAAGAACTATTTTGTTGTACTTGTGCACTGATGAAAGAATAATGATTTGACCCTTTACAATTTTACTTCAAAGCTGCCTTGATTGGTCCTCTCTCCTATATTCTTCATAAAAATTCAGATATCACAGAGCAATTTTCCTTCAAATTATGGACAAATGATTAACAAACTTGATTTATACATTAATACGTCTTTATTTTATGGAAATTGCTATGTAGAAGTCGACAGGATTTTAGAAAGAATATCATTTTAAACAACTTATACTACTCAAAGTTTGCTTAGCCTCAAGTTTTCCACATATCGTGCATTCTACATCTTATAATGTAATGTATCGGGAGTGTACCCTGTGTCCACATAACCTTTAATGACAGGCCATTTCCACAAACAAGGTGACCCTGTATTTTGATAGTCTATTAGGCACAGCATACACATACCGACAGGTTGAGGGTGTTCATTCTTCATTTTCCATTTAAATATTGAACATTTAAGATTGCATAATGGCGAATGCAAATGTTAGAAGGCATTTATCAAAACAGAGTTGTGGCGGGCAGTTGTTATGGTGGAGCAAGGGGTGAGATTGGTTTGGTGTGAAGCATCTGTTATTACCCAAGCCTGTGCAAGGTTACAACAGCATGGTACACCTGCTAGACGAGATGTTGGTGACAAGGGTGACTACTGAGGCTGAGGACCATTGTCTGGTCATCTAGGTACGAAGAAACCGTTTTTCAACTGCAACCCAACTTCGTTCTGACCTTCCAAATGCTTCACGAGTGCGTGTGTCAACACAAACCATACGTACACCTTTGCATGAAAGTGGTCGGCGATCGAGAAGGCCATATATACGGATCCCGCTGTCTAGAGACCACTGCCGGATCCGATATGATTGAGCCATGAACCATGTTGGTTGGAGTAGGATGGGCTGGCGGGCTGTCCTCTTCACCGACGATCCAGGTACTACCTGGACTACACAGATAGGCGGGCTATAGTATGGAAAGGGTCAGGGGAACGGGTCTATACAGCAAACATTGCGGAACACGCCCGCTATGGCGATGGATCAATAATGGTCTTGGGGTGGAATCAGCTGGGATGGACGTACTGATCTCATTGTTCTCGACAGAGGCACATTGACTGCCCAGCGGTATCGAGATGAGATCCTCGACACCAAGGTAAGGTTGTATGCTGGTGCAATTGGTAATGGGTTCATTTTGATGGATGATAATGCCCGCGCCCATACAGCTAATGTCGTCCAATACTCGAAGACAGGGTATTACTCGTTTGGACTGACCGGCCCGATCCCGGATCTTAATCCCATTGAGTATGTATTGAATGAGCTATAGCTCCGTATTTCAGCCCGTCAAGTCCAGCAAAGAACCACCCATGAGCTTGGTGCCGCTTTTGTCGACGAGTGAAATACCATTCCACAAGCCGTCCTAAGAAACCTGATGGGGAGTGTGCAACGACGGTGCCAAGCTGTCATTGACAACACTGGGTCACATACTGGCTATTAAATGTTTTTCACAAATTCCACCATATCCGTCCAAAACTCAATTTCATTACAATGAAAACAAATCCACATGAAAACACATTAAATTTGGTAACAAATGATGTTTATAAATATCTATGTCATATATAAGAACAGAAATGAATCTAATATTTGGCACACAACATAAGATAGGTACAAAATACTCTTGGTGCTTAGCAAGCTTTGACTAGTATATACATAATTGGATAAGTAACCTCTGTTGTCTTGTGGTTAAAGTCGCTGACTTCTAATCACTTGTTCGTTTCTGTTAGAATATTATTTCAATTGAGGAAGCATTCCTGCTATCTTACTTCTACTCAGATGTGCGTTCCTCCTTAAAACCACTTAACATTTAGCTTGAACGTTGACAGTATCTGCATTACTTGTCAAAAGGCAATAAACTTTTCAAAACAATAAAATTTGAATAGATTATTGACAACTTGAACATTGGATACAAAAATATTGATGTCCTGAATGCTTTTCGATGTTTGGATAGGAACCAATAACTAGCAACTGTAATGCAAAAAAGGGGCAGTAGTCTGTAAGGCAGTTTTACTATGTTTTTGCTCGGTTACTTCCCTTTACACATAAAGCGTACATATATTGAGATATTGTTATATATTTGGAAAAATTTTGAGAGCCATTGTACTCCCGTTAGCGTCGCCGTAACACTTTGTTAAGTTTTCATGTCCCTTGACTATGAGTAACCTTTATCAGAGTATGCCCTTTTTCTTTTTGTCAAGCACTTAGAATGGTCTTGTTCATGAGTATCATTTACATCGTTTAAAATAGAGATAGTTTCATTTTCAAAAGGTGTCATGATAAAGACTTGTGAAAAAATTCATTTAATTTATTATTTCTCTGCACAGCTCATTTTATTAATGCGCAAATGAAATATATGAATGATCCTCCATGATATACCATCGTCTATCCAACCGAAAGACATATATTATATGGTGCATGAAATAATTGCATCATGTGAATATTTTATGTAAGATATCCCACCATTAGGATAGTGATACATTTAAATAGTTTACTTCACAAAACTGATATGTTGTCATAACCCTGCTGAAATTGTGCAAAATGACTTGCATTGAGAAAAATTATTGTTTGTTGTGTTTTAAGTTATATCGACACTATAATGATCATATGAGCCGCGTCACGACAAAACCAACATAATGGGTTTGCGACCAGCATGGATCCAGACTAGCATGCGCATCCGCGCAGTCTGATCAGGATCCATGCTGTTCGCTATCAGTTTCTCTACTTGTTAGAGTTTGTAAGAGTTTGTAAGCGACTGCGCGGATGCGCAGGCTGGTCTGGATCTATGCTGGTCGCAAACCCATTATGTTGGTTTTGTCGTGACGCGGCTCATATGGCGTCTTTCTAGCTTTCCTGGTGGGGGAAACCACTCCTTGCATTATTAAAGTCACGAACGGTTACCAGAGTAGAACTACCTCGCATTATAGAATCAAAGGTCACTTGCGGGATTCGAACTCACAGCGGTGAGGGACAAGTGGTTTGTTATAAATAAGAAACGGCTTAGTAATTAACAAAATACTAAAATCTTTAAGTAAAGTCAGCATGTCTGCACGGATGTATAGGCACTGTCGTCATAGGCCAATTATTTTCCAAGAAATTGCCCGAAAACCACGATTATTCAGGATTTTCCGCGAAAAAAGATATTTCCTTGTGAAACAACGATGATGATAAGTGGATACACAACCTGTCCTTAACATAATAAACACTAGAGCTATATTATACATGTAAATGATAATTTCCTAGAGATTTTGAAAATACATGTAATACAAAGAGTTTTGCATACTTGATATGATTTCTCGGACTAAGATTCAAAACGAGTTTGATGAAATGTGTCTGCAACTTGGTTCAAATAATAACTAGTACCAAATCTACTTTTAATTTTATTTGTTATGTATTCTTTTATTTCAATATGTTCAAACAGTGAAGAATCTTAGATATGGACAAATATGTGAATGTAAGATATAATAAGATAATTTGAAAGTTTGTTCAAAATTAACTGTAAAACATTCAGTAAATTACATTTAAAATGGCATGATAATGTAGGTCGGTGCGTTCGAAATTGTTTAATTGTTTTGCTTTATTTATCAGTAAGATGATGTAAATGCCATGAGTTTATACTAATTTCGAAATATTTTATCTGAAGAAGTCACGATAAACTTCGTCAATAAAAGTAAACATTGCAAACACACCCATATTTAATACAGTTACCCAAATGGGCCACGTTCCAATTTTTATTTTGCAAACATGAATGAACTTGGGGATCATGAAACTTGTCAACTGAAATCGCCCTATGTGAAATATATAGTCCCACTAAATTTTGTCACGCTAGGTTACTTAAGAATTTGAATTACATTGTCGACCTTATACATCCTTCTATTGCAAAATGTTTAAATTCCCCGGTCTTCTCAATGTAAAAGTAACTTCAACGCGGATAACCGAGCATACTTCCTGTTCTCGCAATAAATGTACAAATTTAAAATATATGGGCAATAAGTACTCATATAAGTGCAAGACATTGTACAACTTGAATTATATAGGCTTGAAAGATATGACACAATATGATTTCGTATGAGAAAGTTAAACATCTAATTTCTTGTACAATATCATGCTTCTATATCCAAACACTGTCTTAATATATAATATGTTGAAGCTCTGTCTCTCATTACATTGAGTTACCATTTTTTTGCTTTTCATGAATGTGTAATTACATAAATATGTATGTTTTTATAGAACTGGGCAGTACTTCTTAATCATATACATTGTTGCTACATTTTATACAGTAATCAAAAAGTTTATTTTTAACAAATAAGGTTGGACATCTGACTCTCCCTTTCCCTGCCCGAATATTTTTTATCCCGGGCATATTATAAGTTAAAAAGATGTCTGACAGGCTCTTTGGCCATATAACATGTCAAAAAAAACTTTACAACAAATTTCCTTGATTAGAGAAAAAATGCAATTGCTTTATGACTCGAAACCCCGTAAAAAAAACAACGTAAAAAGTAGCTAGGTTAATTAAGTGATGCAACCTGACCTGGATTGTTTTCAAAAACCCGAGTTATTAAACTTATTTAATAACAAGTTTTGTTGGTTAATAGCCATCGAACTACATGTATGTATGTTTTAAACAACTTGAAAACCTGCCAAAATTAGTATATTGACACTTTAAGATAAAAATTCCATTAGAAAGAGGTCAATCATGTTTTGAAAATATATTGTTAGTAATCGATATTACACGTATTGATATCAAATCATTGTCAACATACAGATTTTATATTTCGATAAGAAGAAATGTCACAAACTTGATATAGACACAATAATAAAAACAACTTGCGAATAATAACTTATAATTAATGAATTTAAATAGCAATTCACTTCAATATTAAAGTGGCCATTCGTGATAAACGAAACTTTCATAAGCAAAATCACAAAACTAAAGTCTTTATAGCACCGTACGCTCGACTTAGCTAATGACTTGAAGGGGAATGTCGTCTGCCTGCAACAGAATGTGAAATGTAATATTACGGAAGCCCATAAGTGCCATTTTGTCTTAGGACTTTTGTCTTATGACTTATGACTTGTGTATTATGACTTGACAAAAAAGCGGCAAAAGGGCAAGTTTCATCACATGCACCCTTCATGGACGTTGGAGGTAAATCTGATAGTGAAGCAGAAGACGATTTGGTAAGTGTTAAATTTAAAAAGTATGACAGTACTGTATTTCTCCTAACTTGAATAATTATCTCCCATACAAGGTTAGGTTTCGAATATATGGGTCATCTCAGATGAAAAAATAGGTCACAGGGCACAACAATCGTATTAACTGTTAAAGTTTAAGTATCAAAATATTTGCAATACTGACACATTTTTAAAACATGTGTGAAACTTTATTCTGTATAAATATAAATTATTTCTCCTTCAGGTAAATGCGAGTAGTAAACAATGCGAGTAGTAAACGTATTCATGCACTAGTTCAGAACATAGCAGGCCACTAAGAAGAAAAAAGACCCAGAAACATTGAAAAAGATTAACTTATGGAGATCCATTGATGGTAAACATGTTGGACATTCATCTTCTACCTGTGACTCTCTTTACAAAGGAAAAACAAGAAATTGGTTATTTGAGTGTTCAGTACCTGTATACGATGCAATTTTGATTTAAGCAGTCATAGTCTTACTTATCAACCCGCCCGCTTATATCAACAGACCGACGGTTTGTTGGCGAGGCTATGTTTTCCGTGATTGTGTATAAAATTTTCAGGCCATTTAATCAAACTCCGTCTTTGTTTAATCTTTTTTCTCCTAGCAACATTTATATGATTTCAAAAAAAAAACAACAACAAAAAACTACACACTGATAACTATGATGTTTGAATAATTATTGCAATTGACATTTTATACAGCAGTGTTTTTATAAATTATATATTTTGTCTGACATCTTATAAGTATGAATAAGAGCTTATATGTATACGTACTCTGTTTTCCAGATATCACAAGTGAATATGTTGGCGTTCCATAGCTTTTGGTTTTGTCTTTGGATACAACAGGTTAACTCTGTATTAGGAGTGACACCTTCAAACATACCAGACACATCGACAGCAGGAAGTACACGGCTTGAATTAGTGAAACACTATTTTTACTGTGGGTTTTCATATCCGGAAATTATTCTTTTGTTGTTTGTTATAAATAACATTAAAATATCGTTGCGAAAGCTTAATAGAGTACCTAAATGTAACAACTTACGACGTCGAACTGGATACACACCAGATCACATTGTTCTTGATTATATTTCCAAGGAAATTGAGACAAGTGGTCAGTGAATTGGTTATTGTTCGATGTTGAAACGCTTGACAAATGAACATAAATTAAGAGTTCCTAGAAATAAAGTTCTTTCATTTATGAAAACTATTGATCCTGAAGGAATTAATTTTCGGAAAGCCCACAGAATTAAAAGACGCAAGTACAGAATAAAGGGGCCAAATTATGTATGGCACGTAGACGGTTACGATAAACTGAAACCATATGGCTTTTGTATACACGGTGCTATTGATGGTTACAGTAGAAGGATACTTTGGCTAGAAGTGTCACAAAGTAACAACAACCCTGCAGTCATCGCTATGTATTATCTTGAAGCGCTGAAGACGCTTCGGGTTGTTCCCCGAATTCTTCGTTGTGATAAGGGAACAGAAAATTCAACTCTGTCTTTGCTCCAACCGTTCTTCTGGTACAATGATACAGATAGTATATCGGGACTTAGAAGTTTTATATACGGAAAAAGTGTTTCAAATCAACGAATAGAGGCCTTGTGGGGAACTATGAGACGCCAAGGAATTCAATGGTGGATTTCCTTTTTCAAAGATTTAAAAGACAATCAAGAGTATGATGAATTAAATCCTTTACATGTTGAATGCTTGAAATTCTCTTTTATGCACTTGATTCAGGCCGAGCTTGACAGAATAGCGGTTAATTGGAACTTACATTCCATTCGTAAACAGAGAAATTCTGAGGTACCAAATGGAAAACCCGATTTAATGTACTTCGTTCCGGAATTGTTTGGCGGACACAATTATGGAAAGATTGTAGATCAAAATGATGTTGATGCTTGTTGCGAAATGTACGGCTTATGTAGGACAACATGCATTAAAGAACTTCAAGATTTGGTAAAATTACTAAAGCCTGACATCCGCATTCCCATGGATGTACAAGATGCTCTAGAACTATACAGGGAACTACTGGAACTTATTGATGAAGCCATTGAATAATTTCTCTCATATGTGCTCTGAATAAATTCTCTTCAAGTATCAGATATTTAATATAATTCATTTAGATCGTTTGCGGAACAAGTTCTTGCCAAGGTTTTCTTTTAATCAAAACCCTTGAACCAACCAGTACTGGTGTCATATGAAGAAACATGGAGATGGCTCGAGTAGGACTCGAACCCATAGTCCTTAGGTTGAGGGGCAGACACATTAACCAAGAGGCTACCGCTCCCCTTTCCCCTTGCTTAAAAGAAATGGATTGTAGTACGAAACGTAATGTTGTGTAAGCTTGTTCCTCCGCAAAATGGGTTTTCATATGGAGTTAAATAAAGGAGTATGTAAAAATCATAAAGTAGAGCAATTTATTATATCTTACAATAATTAAGTCATGAAATAAATTCAAGTTTGAAAAAGAAACAAAACCAAATGCTATCAGATAGTATCAGATGTTAATTTTGAATTGCTTTTGCGTAGTGTATTGGTAAATTCTGCGATCTCACTTTTGAGTTATGTGCCTTTGAACCAGAATCTTTTACTTACTTGAGGTCAATTCAAGGACATTAAAGTAATACAAAGAAGAATGAAACACGAGGCTATTTGATCTGATAGCTATCTGATACAAGGGGGCTAAACTAGTTACATGCTTGTTCCCAAAATGTTGTTCTGAGATGCCCACAATGTAACTTCCAAACATGCAGATTTTACAGGATATATGTCTTAAAATATTGTTATATTATATAAATGTATATAATTGTCTATTATATGATTTAAAATTCATACACAACATAAAAAGTAGTTATGTAAATTAAAATTACATAAACTCATATCTATTCTGTTTCCCTTTTATAGGTTTTTCCATAGAACTTATTCAAACAACCCTTGAAACTTCACTGGTGGATATCAAAACATGAATATTTGTTACTAACACGAATCATTTTATCTTAAACTATGTCCATTTGTTTTATTTCCTTGCTATGTTTAAAGACTAACACTTTCAAAAAATATTGTTTTAAGGAAAAGAGCTCGCTTATATGAAATATAATCAGATAAACAAAATTAAATGGTTTTAACGAAATATATTGACAATTATTTAAGTCTTTAAGTAAAAAAATAAACAAGTGTTAACTTAAAACCAACTTTCTTTTCGGCATACAAACTTAAATATTTTGAAATCAGTCATAAGTTTTACTTAGATTTAAACAAATTGAAAATACTTATATCAAAGAAACAGAAATAATTATAGTTTTGAAAACAGCCTAATACAAAACAAGAACTATCACTAAATGTGATTAATACCCCCGCAAGACTGCTTCGGAAATGATGGAGTTATTAGTAATATAATTAGTATCAACTGTACTGTCATCCAGGGACTGAAGTCATACTCGGTCAGTAAAAATCTCCTGAGTTGCATGACAAGTGTATGTTGAAAGTTTTATTTTTTTCTGCCAGCAAAGCTTGAGAGTCCACCCTTACAGCTGCACATTCATAAAGTGTATCTTTATCTGATACTTCACCAAGTATTCACCAGGATCAGTTACGGGGATTAAGCAAAGGTCAAGTCCACTTGCAAAGAGTTCGTTGTTTTTATACCACTGAAAATATGCACCAGAATTATGTTCTTTATAAAGTACTCCAAGTATGATTTCCTTGTTTTCTTGCCTCTCAAAACCCACAATCTGGTCAGGTGTATGAATTATTCCTTTTGCATTTGATGTAGCTGTTGGATATTCAAAGTGGTTAGAACTCGGATCTGCTTGGCTCAAAATAGAGATCTTGTTGACTGTTATGGCTGTCACTTTGAAACTATTTTCCAGTGGATTATACCCATCTCTTTCTCTGTCAGGATCACTTACAATTGTGTCAAGAAATCAGTCATCAATGGTTTGACAGATTTTTTGTGAACATTCTGCTGTGTATGATGAGTTGCAAAGTTTAGTGTACTTTACACATATTTCACCAGGTGTTTGGTCATTCACTATCAATGATGTTAAAGGAACCGGAATGCTTTTATCATCTACATGCTGTCTAACTGGTTCTTTACCGTCAATCTCCTGTTTTTTTAGATGTTCTCAAATATAAAAAGTACTAAGAGGAAAACACGCCGATAGACTTCAAGTATGTTTGCAAATTACATTCTTCCCCATTTGGCATGACAAATTTTGAGATTACTTCTCCGTTATATGTAGACAGGTTTTCTACCATATCTGATAACTTTCCTATATCATTTTTTTCCATCTGGAAAGAAAATGCTAGTTGCATAATTTATAACTGTCTGAACAGTTTGCTCTTCTTCTTTTTTAAATTCGTATATTCTTGTACCGCCTCCTCTCCGTGCGGTAACTTGTCTTAACTTCCCACGAGTTTCATGAAGCCATCCAAGGTGCAACTTATATATGGCATGTCTACCAGTACCTCGCCGTTTCTGAAAGAAGAAATAATAAGCTATCTAGGATAATTTATTGAAAATACACCAAGGGATATATAGAAATTTGATGAATCTTTCAACCATCATAACTGAATCTCATAGAAAACTTAAATGTATACGTCATTTAATAAAGCGCCCAAAAATATGTGTCACTCACATAAAAACTTGCTGTTTATTTCTTTCAAAAAGTACATTATTTTACGCAATGGTCGTATTCATTGATTCGTTAAATTAATCTAGGTTTTGACAAAATCAAAACACAGTTACCTGACAAAAATTTTAACCAAGTGATCTAGTATTTACCACTCATTTAATGTCCAATATTGAGAATACCTTATGAACACTTTGAACATGTTTCATGAAAATCACAAAAGAAATGTTACCCTGTGTTAAAATACAGTCGCGAGCAACCAGTGAGCATGATGACTGTGTTACCTGATTATTGCAAATTAATAAGCAATTGTATTGTTCTGTAAATTTTTCAGCTACTTTGTAGCATGTTACAGTTATTGTGTAGCAGGAGACACAAACATCAAACAGACGGATGGACACACAGACACCTGCATGGTCTTAATTTGATTTGACTTCTTGACTTCATTTTTGATTGCACTCGACCAGCTTTCAAATAAAACATTTATAGAGATGAACATTTTGTCAATGTATCACAAAGGTCAGAACGTATTTTGACTTTTGAATTATGTCTTATGTATTTTGACTTTTGTATTATGTCTTATGTATTTTGACTTTTGTATTATGTCTTATGTATTTTGACTTTTGTATTATGTATTTTGACTTTTGTATTATGTCTTATGTATTTTGACTTTTGTATTATGTCTTATGTATTTTGACTTTTGTATTTTGTATCATGACATATGTAATACGGCTTATGTATTGTGTATTACGGGTTAAGAAGTATGCATCATTTGATTTATACAGACATGTAAGAAGTCTCGCAGCTTGCTCATCTATTACCCTATCTCCTTGGTGATAATTTTACTTGCGAATACTAAATTAGACTGCTATTTGCATGTCGGTTCTGTGCCAAAATAATCATAAATGTTCAAACTGTTTTCTACAATTGAATCTTAGTTCTTCGAATTATTTTTTTAATAGAATAAAAGAAGATTTTGCAAGTAGGTTATTTACAGTGTTTATTTTTATATTATGTAGTTAAACATTGCAAAAATGCTTGAGAAGAATGAAAAGTCAAACATTTGTTATTTGTCATTTTCTAGAAATCTTTATCGATTTGGTAGAGCCATTTCATGTATCAGATCATTCTTTTAGTGATTTTACATTTCCACCTATTGATCATGTTTAGAAAAAAACAACAAAGAATTGGCTTCAAAATGTCATATTTTGAATTATAAAAAAATCCTTGTTTTCACCATAGATTCCTCAATATCAGATTAATAATTATCATTTATTGTACTCTTTGTATTTTCACATATTAATATACATTTATAGTAAAGTTTCATCACATAAAACATTCAATTTGGAGAGGAAAAAAGTAATAGTTTGAATGATTACATACTACAAGCTGTCTTATTTTTCATATTAATTACATATCATTGCATGTATATATAGTGATATCAAAATACAACTGATTCAGGTACTCTCATATTTCATTCCTCCA